TACTCTTCTCAAACGAGTGGCAGTTCATAAAAAGGAGAACTGTGGCCCAGGCAGGAGCTGCTTCCTTGCTTAGCCCTGTCCAGGTGGGCCCTCCAATGCATGGCCAACCGTGTACAGCATGAGCATCAGGCTGGTCTCCTAAGGGCTCCCCAGAGTGCAGCAGTCAGGCTCAAGAGCCCATTATCCTAAGAGAGACATGACCCAGCCCAGGTAAACCAGACTCACAGGCCAACAGGTCGGCCACACACTGGCTAAGAGACCCACAAAATACATCCACGGTACCTGAAGTACTGTAAAACCTACCCTGCCTGGTAGGGGTTGGGGCCGAGCAGCACCATGGGGCTCCAGGCAAAGCCCTCAAAGGACATCTCTCCCTGAGCTGCTCTTGGAGGCAGAGCCAACAAAACCAGCCTGGTGGTGTTGGAACCTGGTCTTCTCAGCTCGGCCTGGAGCCCCCACCTCAACCCTGGCCAGCCTCTGTGGGCTAGGAGCCAGGGCAGTGTCTATGGCTGCTCAGAGCCCTGTGGTTCAACCTGGAGCCAGGCAGTTAAGAATAGTGAGGGCCTGGGCAGTCCCAGAGGTTCCAGGAGGGTGTGAAGCAGGGAACAGAGATCTGCCAAAGTCACTCTTAGGTTTCTCTAACTAGAAAGGGAAAGCTACCACAAGGGACAAAAACAGGGTACAGGGGGCTTCCCTGCCATGGGAAGGTACAGCCAGCTCAGGCCACAGCCAGTTTGGTTCGATGAGGAAACAGAACAGCTATGTGACCCACTGTCATGCAGCAGCAGCCACCCGCCCCTTAGGCAGGGCCCCAGCACAGGGGCAGGGACAGCTCAACCATAACCCACGTGTCCACTGGCACAGACCCCAGACATTGGCCCAGACCCCAACCCTGACAAGCTTTGAGTCCTGCCTGCGCCCGCACCCCAGCCCACCCCATCTCGAGCTGCAGGATGCCCTATTAAGGGCATGTGGCTACGGGGGCTCTGTAGAACCCGCCTCCCCCTTTTCCAGACCTATAACCATGGGCTGGGGGCAGGGAAGGGGGGGTCACCCAGGCAGAAAGGCCAGTGGCTGGTCAGTTTCTGTGTGGATGGTCAGGACAGCTACCTCCATAAAGTGATCAGCGGCCAGCTGTCAGTCTGGTGGACCCAGCGAGCGCTGCAAGGCTGCCCAGAGGGTGGGTAAGGTGGTGGGGGTTCCATACCTTTGTACTTCTCCCGCACCTCTTCGTAAGCCTGGATGAAGTCCTGCTCGTCGGGTGCCAGGTTGGGTGTCAGGAGAGCGGCCATGCCGCTGGACATGGGACACACTGCACCAGACGCGCAGGAACCGCCTCCAGCCCAGGCTGCCGCTCTGCTACAGCAGCTGAGGCGCGTGCGGCTTAAAGAGGCCGCCCCCGCCCCGCCCCGCACCCAGGATGCCCCACGGACGGGGCGGGGCAGTGCCGGCCGAGGCTAGACTCTGTCCCCGAAGTGCCTGGCCCGCGCTAGCGCAGAGCCTCGGCCCTAAGCGCGCGGCGTCTGCAGGAGCGTCCCTGCGATCGCGTACCCCTGCTCACTACCCACTCGTACACAGCAGCCAGACGGCTCGATTCCCCTTCCCTGGAGTCCTAGTCTTGTGACGGCCGCTCCCCGATCAGCCCAGCCTGTGCAGCAACCCTCCCTGCCCCAACCAGCGACCTCACTGGCCACCGTTGTGCTACCTTTCTTCTTCCCTCCTTTTTTCCCTTCACTTAGAATTGCTACAATACTGGAGATAATGTTGGCCTCTCTAATATATAAGGATCCCTTAGCCCCGCGAGGTGGGGCACACTTGTAATCCCAGCATTCAGGAGGCAGAGACAGGGGGATTGCTGTGAGTTCAAGGCCAGCAAGACCCTGTCTCTAAATAAATAAAGAGTGAGCCCTGAAAACACGAAAAAAATTACACATAAGAGGACTGGAAACTGAGTGTGCTGGTGCTGGTGCACACCTGTAATCTCAGCACTCAGGAGGCTGAGGCAGGAGGATCACTGTAAGTTCGAGGCCAGCCTGAACTACATAGCAAGACCCTGTCTCGAAAGAAAGAAAGGAAGGAAGGACTGGGGTAGACAAATCACAGAGTAACAGAAAGTTTGGTAATAGGGCTGGGGATTTAGCTCAGCAGGCATATACAACTGCCTTGCAAGTGCATGGTTATGAGTTCGATCCCTGGTACCGGTAAAAGAAAAAGTTCAGTAAACTTCAGAAACTTTCAGAAAAAGAAAAAAAAAGTTCAGTAATAAATGAAAGGACAGTTTTTTCCATCCATCAGATTGGCAAAATCTTCTCTGTCTACCAACATTTTTTCATGTCCTCCTTCCTGGAACCCCCTGGTGTAATATTCCTTCAGACCTTAAATTCTGGGTGCCCTCAAAACAGAAGTCCTAATAAGATAATCAGAGAACACAAAGGCCCTGCATCAGGGGCTGTCCATTACAGCATAGCTAGAGACAGAGAATGCTACAGACCACCAGAGCCAGCAGCAGGTGCTGCTGAGGGTCACTACAGCCCCATTCCATTCCTTCATATCTTGAAAGGTCCAGGAGGTAGAAAAGAAACTTGTGATTCCTTTTCAGGTAGAAAAAAAAATTACTTCATTCTTTAAAATCTCCTATGAGAAAGATCAGGTCACCCACAAGCACCTGGGCCTGTGGGCTTTGGCAGCGTTGAGAGCATGCCCATACCTCTTCTCTGCTTCTGTTTCTATGAGTTCCCCAGTGACAAAGTTCCCCAATACCCACAGTACTACCACCCCTCTGGGGAGTGGCCCCCAAGCCTTCCCCATACGTGTTGGTCCACCTTCCTTGCCTTCTGCCCTCCCGATGCCTCACCAAGGTCCTGGGGGTCCTACAAGATGGAATGGGGTCAGTACTCACTTTTCTAGCACATTCTGCCCAATGACCTCCAGTTCTAAGTGACCCACTTCCCAATGGGACTGGCTGCTCTCCAACTAACCACCCTCCAACTGCCCACCACCTCCCTCTGAGCCTCTCATTGGATTTTTCCCATTCTCTCCTCAGACTGGCAATCTAATGTAGGACAAGGCTGGACTCTGGCTCAGGAATAGTAGGGCTCTCACTGGCCACACATTCTCTCCTTCCATGCTCCTGTGCACACCCACCCCTATGTGGCAGTCAAGACTAGGAGCCTGATAAGCAGTTTGGCCCCAGGGGCCCAGATAATGATCACTGTCTTATCAAGGGCTCTGGACTGGTATCAAGAAGCCAGCAATGACAGGCTGCAGCAAAAAGCTGGGTTTCTGGCCTCTCACAGCTGCCAGGGCCAGGGCAGCAGGTGGCGCTGTGTTGCCTGCACTCACCTGAGACAAGAGAGACCCTGCCTGACCTGCATGCGGATCCCCTTCTCTCCTCTCCTAGACCAAACACTTGCAAACAGCAGGCAGTAGGTACTTAGTCAACAGTCCTGTGCTTGTGCTAACGAACCAAGCTGACCAGGCCTTTCTACGTTACCTGCAATGCGGATGACAGCCCGCTCTGCAGGGTCCAAGACACTCCCATTGCCTCCAGAGCCGCCTCCACTTCGCCGGCTCCGCTGAGTTTTCCCAAGGTTCCAAGGCAGTGTGTCCCCAGGGCTGGGGGAGCCACTGCCTCCATTGGAGCCACTTTCAGCCACAGTTCGAACTTCGGAGTCCTCACCCGACATGGCCTCCTGGAGGGAGAGCAGGAAGGTCATACTTTTGCATGTGAGAAGCCGATACTGCACAACCAACCCACCACCTCCTCAACAACCTAAACGCTGACCCCATTCACCTGGACACTGACACCACGCCCCTCCTAGATGCTGACAGTTTCTCCCCTTTCCACATCCAGCCTTCTCCTCAGACACCTACACAGTGACACTCAGACACTGACCTCACCCCCAGTAATGTATCACAACGCTGACAACCCTCACATTGACAGGCACTCCCTTCACACAACCACTGACAACCCAACGAGCATCCCTATCACTGGACACCAGTTCCAACCCCTTGTCAAGTGGTCAAGTGGGACGGAGGAGGTAAGTACTTTCACTTGGACACTGACACTGACCCAACCTTCCCTCCCATTCACACACTGGCCTAAACGCTCTGCATCCCAACGGTGGATTCCCTTTCGTCTATTACAATCTCTGGCAAAGGAGGCCATCCACAAGTACCGGCAGGCCCCCTCCTCTCCTGTTCTCTGGAAGAACACCCCACCCCCTCCAGCCCAGACCCTGGACGCTGGCACTCTAGCTCCAGGCTGTCTCAGTCTGTAGGACTCCCCACCACACCACACCACCTCCAGCCCCGCACAGTCCCACCTCGATCTCTGCAGAGAAGATCTATAAATAGCTAAAGTCGCAGCAGCGTGGGCCGCGGGAGTGAGGCTGCGGCAAAACTGAGCGAGAAACCAAGCCCATGCTCAGGCAGTCCGCCCTGTTCCCTGCAGGCGCAATGAGGGAGCACGCATACCCACGCGTCCGCAAGCCTCAAGGATGCTGGCGTGCAAGAGGTGAATGGGGCTCTGTCTCCGCGAGGATGGGTTGTTGTGGGGCACAATGTAGGTTCTGTGCCTTTTCCCTCAAGCCAAGGTCTGAGGAGATCGCGGGTACCCAGCTGGAAGCCCCCCTCTCCAGGGTCCCTTGGCTTCTCAGGGGTTCACCTCTGCTCCAGCCCAAAGCCTGGCGCAGCAACCTTCCCTACCCACACAGCCCTCACACTGCCTGTCCAGTTCCGCAATGTCTAGCGCGTTGGAAGGTGCTGTCCTCCAAGGGACCGCAGGATGGCCTGCGACACAGCCCCTAGTTCCGGGTGGGTGGCTTGCGGCCAAGATCCCACTCCAACCCCACAGCTCCCGCACATGATGCACCTCTCCCTCCCAGCTGGGTCCTACGTGCCTGGTGGCTCCGCTTGCCTCTGTTCGGCTGCTGAAGCCAGATTGCTGGAGGCCGGGAAGCTGCGGAGGCAGCGCGGGCGGGGCGAGCTCGGAGCCCCGCCCCGGTTCAGCCGGCCCCGACGTAGAGTCGCGCCGCGGAGCACCACCGAGAGCGTGCAAGCGAGCAATGTCGGCGTGTCGCGGGGAAGGGAGTTCCTGAGGCCACCGAACGGCAGCCTGCGGTGCAACTCTGCCGGGAGGCGCCCGCACCTCTGTCCCGCGCAGCCTTCTCCCAGTGCGTGCAGGGCGGGCCGGTAGGCAAGGAGACGCCGCTGGACTAACGTACGTGCCACCAAGGCAGCGTGGGGTCGCCCCGGTGCGTTCGGCCCCGCCCAGCACCCGCAGCGTTGGGCAGCTGCCTGCTCTCTCCCCCGCCCCGAGAACGGTCGACCCCGACCCTGGCCGGGACGAGTCCCCCAACTCCCAAACAGAGGTCGAATTTTGAGTTTCCAGGGTCCTTCTGCCCTGTCGCGCACAGGTTTTATTCAAAAACAGAACCGCGCTCGGGCGGGGTCGGGCCAAGACGGGCGTGTCCAGTCGGCGTACCCTCCCGCTGGGCTCTGCTGACCCCTGGTGGTGGGTCCGGCGGAGGAGCGCGTTGGCCCAGTGCTCTGGGTCTGTTTGGCCCCTGCTAGCTATCGCCATGCGGGGTGTGAGAGCGGGAATTTGAGGAGCAAGCCCGCCTGGAGTCAGGTGGCTGGAGAGGGCCCTTAAAGCTCAAGAGGGGTTGCAGAGGAAACGTGGGGCAGGCGCTTGCAGGTGATGAGGTGGGTGGGCAGCGCCTGGGTGTCGTGGAAAATGACAAAGATGTTGGGCTGGTTGAGGCAGTCCACAGCGCTGTCATAGCGCAGGAGGGTGTGGCCGGATGCCCGAAGAGGGGGAGCCCGCAGACCCTGGCAGCCTTGCCCATAGTCCCCTGTCAGCACCCGTGCCACGAATACCGCTTTGTGGCCATCGTCGTTGGGGGGCGAATATCGGTCCTGCACCGACAGGGAGGCGCGCTTGGCGAAGTACACGCCCTGCCCGTATAGCGTGCCTGTGGGATGGAACCGGCAAACAAATGTCACAACATTGAATTGGCTGGACGCTCCGCCCCTCCCCGTCCAGGCCTCACCATTGCGGCCACAGAAGCTGCGATTGAAGCCGTGCGCACAGATCTCAGGCACCGCGGACGCCGACGTGCCGTGGTACAGGACCTGCTCTGCAGGGTGCTGCGTGCAGCGTTGCACCAGACGATCCCGGTGCAGCTGGTACTGCTGCTCCAGCAGCGGGTGGGACACACGCTGCACCTGCAAGGTGAGTGGCAGAGCCGGCTTTATTGGCAGTTCCTCCGTACACCGTGGATGACCTAGGATGGAGCTGAGCTCAGCCATCAGGAACCTTCTGGTGGAGGACTTCAGACCTGGGAGAGACCTTGTAGCCCCCAACGTACCACCTTCATGGGGCAAGTGGCATGGAAAGGCTTCCAGAGATGCCTAACCCTCCAGGGAGGACTGTAGTAGGGTAAACTCCATCTGCTCTACAACTGTTCAATGAAAAACCCAGCAAGGTGCCTATATGGCCTTCAGGACTTCATTCCCAACACCAAGAGATGCCCACAGACCCGTCAATCCTGGAAGACCCAGGTGGGAGATAAGGCCTTGAGCAGCCAACCCAATGGTCAGTTCTAGAGGAACAAACTCAGGAACCCAAACAGATAGAATTTTTGTTTGCTTGTTTGAACAAGCCTGAACAAAACTAACTGTTGTGAAACAGTCTAAAAATAAGAGTTTCCACGTTAAAAATGGGACTGTTGCCAGGGGTGGTGGTACATGCCTATAATCTCAGCACTCAGGAGGCTGAGGCAGAAGGATTGCTGAGTGTTCATAACAAACCTGGGCTTATATAGTGAGTTCAGGGACAGCCTAAATTACATAAAACAAATAGCCTGCCTCAACAAACAAACAAAAACAAGAATAAGATTGCTCAGCTGGAGGTTCAACTTGGAGGATTGGGTCTCCTCCTGCACAACAGGAGGAGGAGGGAGAAGTAAGAGGAGAGGATTGCTCAGCAAAATTCTTTGGGTGAGCCAGATAATGAATGGTGAAAGTTGAAGATTCAGCCAGAGGATCTGGATGGAAATAAGGAAATGATGCAGAGAGCAGGGTTGCAGGAAAGGAAGTAGCAAATGATGAGTGACCACGAGTGAGGCAGGTGAAGGAAGCAAGCCTGTGTCACAGGACCTCCCCCAGAAGATAAGAGACAGCGTGGGACACACAGTGAAGGACCATTTCTCTGAGCTGAAGGCATTACCTCCAGATGGGGAGGAGCCAAGAAGAGTGGTGGGAAAGATGCGCCTCTGGAACCTCAACCTTTGAAATGAGGAAAACTACAAGCGTAAAGCCAAGGTCAATATAAAAGGGGTTTAGCTTATTGATACAAGCACCTACCTGGCAAGCTCAAGGTCGTGAGTTCGACCCCTGGTACCCAAAAACAAACAAATAAATTTTAAAAATATAAAAGTTGAAAGAAAACTCATGTTGGATTTCTTACCACCAATACAAAATGCTAAGAAACTATGGAAGAGTTTTTAGCGTTTTTTTTACTTTTCATATTTCCCATAGGCCTCGCCTCTCAGGTCCTTCCTTCTCAACTGTTCTTTTTTTTTCTTTCTTTCTTTTTTTTTTTTTTTTGGTCTTTTTCATTTTTATCGGTACCGGGGATTGAACTCACGACTGCCTACTTGCAAGGCAGGCGCTTATGCCGCTAAGCTAAATCTCCAGCCCCCTCAACTGTTCTTTAACTTGCCTGGGTAGGTGGGGGCTTCTGGGCTTTACTAGGGCTCCTCAGTTATTCCTAGCCTTTTTGGGAAACATGTCTGTGCTCAGTTACCAAATTTGGCAAATCAGAATACTGGAAAAGGCCTGGGGATTTAGCTCAGCAGCATAATTGCCCACCTGGCAAGCACTAGGTTGTAAGTTTGATCCCTGGTACCAAAAAAAAAAAAAAAAAAAAAAAAAAATATATATATATATATATATATATATATATATATATATGGAAAAATGTTGGCAAAAATAGTACCAGAACATATAGAAAGAAGGACCAGGGATGTAGCTTTGTGGTACAGCACTTGCACAATGGGCTTGATCTACAGATACACACAGTACTCAAGCACATGAAGAGGCTGCCACATCACAGTGGGCCAGCATGGTCCTTTACCTCTACTAGAGGCAGGAGAGTCCCTAAAACAGAAGAATCTTTTGTGAAAATAAGTAATCCTCACTATGGCCACAAGATGGCATCACCACTTCATGATCTAGATAAGAATGTGTCTCCAAGAAGGGCATATACCCCCTCAGCAGAGAGCCTCACCCCTGCTGGTCAGATTCCAAGCCTCCCTAACCTCTCTGTTCTTTGGTCTTATCCATCAGACTTTGTGAATGACCACTGGGCAAGAACAAGGCTAGAGAACCCTGGTGCTCCCTCATCACCAGGTCACCTTCCAGCCTGCCCACACTGAGCACTCCTGGCCAGGTGACACTGATGCATGTGACTGTCACAGCTCACAGGGAACCATGAGGCCAGTGAGCAGGGTGTGGGCTCACCTGGACAATGCAGATTCTGCTGTGAGCAGCATCCAGGGTGTTGTAGAAGGCTTGCACCACTTCCTGGAACTCCCTGGTACTCTCTGCCAGACCCTCCAGTCTACCCAAGGGTTCATTCAAGCTCTGCTCTGGCACTAATATATGAGAAGAGAGGAAACAGGGCCATGCCTGGGGTACCAGCCCAATAGCCACCACTGACCCCTCACCCAAACCCAAGATGCAGACTCACAGGTGGTACCTGAAACCCCAGAGGGGAAGGCCAAACTCTGATCCCAAGGGCCAGCAAGAAGTGCAGTTAAGTGGCGGGCTGCACGAGCAGGCTGGGTCCCAAAGCCACGGAGACGAATACTGTCACCACACAGGGCAACACTCACACCATGGCACCGCTCCAGGGGAGCACACAGTTCTGTGGGCAGCACATGGCCCTGGAGCCTGACTGTCTTCTCCTGGAGGTGTTCCTCCAAGGCAGCCGTTAGTGCCCGGTCCAACTCTTCCATATCCTGCTCAAAAGACACATGCACCACCAGTTGGGCCCCATTATCTGAACAGCCACTCAGGGGCTCTTCTGCCTCCAACAGAGGCTGCTCCAAGAGGGAGAGGGCCAGGGCTCGCCTTAGTGTGGCAGCTTCCTTCTGCTCAGCCACCTGGTCCTGAGACTCCAGTGAGCGGTGGAGGGCCAGCTGCAGTGCAGCCTCCTCCTTCAGCTGTTCATGATCAGGTGTGCCAGTGTTAGGTGCCACAGGCTCCTCCCCAGCTCCAGATATACTCTCCTCCTCCTCTGGATTTGCTGCATCCTCTGGTTGTTCCTCATGCTTCTCCTCCTGCAGCTCCGGGGGCTTCCAGTGCTCCAGATCTAGGCTCTCCAAGGTGGCCAGCATCTCTTGGACTTCCTCTAAGAGTAGAGAAAGGCCACTGCATCATGCAGCAGACCCAGTCATAGTAGCACCAAAGGACAATGAATTGGAATAGATGAAAAGTGAAATGAGTTCAGGGGTATAAAGTGGGCCTAGAAAGTGGGAGTGCAAAGTGGGGTGGAGGGTGAGATGAAGAAAGGACCACAGGACATTCTGGAATCTTGAGGGAGCCCTACCCAGGCTCACATTCTCCTGGTCAGCGCCTGTACTCTCTGGGGACCACAGAGTGTAGCTGTGTGCAGGGAGGACCTGAAGGGCCTCAGTGGGATCCATCTGTGGAGAAAGGATGTCAGGGTCATCAGCCCCTGGATGAGGCTTGAGGAGGCACCTGGGGCTGGGAGGTTGAGGTGTACAGAAGGGGAGGAGTCGGTAAAACTCCACCTCTACCTCTTCAGAGTTTGTGTCCACAGTAGCACTAGCCAGATGCTCTGTCCCAAAAACACACTGGAACTGAGCCTCTAGAACCTGAAGAAGGTGCTGTCCTTCTGTCCCCAGCAGGAATCTGGCACTGCCTGGATGCCTCAGGCTCAGCATGTGGCAGCTAATGCTGCCCAGCAGACTCTGTAGCAACTCCTGGGCCGCTTGGCATGGGGCCTGGGCTCCACAGAGCTACAAGAACATAGCAGAGGGACAGTTTGCAGGTTCAGAACACAGGAAAAGTGTGAGGCTCCTGTAGCAGAAGGGCCCAGAAATGAAGAATTCCCAGGAGTTGCTTACCCGAAAGCCTGTCACATCCATTCCTTCAAGTGGGAAGAGGGCAACATCTCCCAAGCTGGCAAGAAGGTCCTCATGATAAAGTTGCAGGAAGCGCATTGCCCCTGGCTCCATCGACAACACAATCTCTACCCGGCCCTCCTGCCCCAGCATCCCCACATGCCCTGGGCTCTCCAACCCAGCCTTCCCTGCAGAGTCCATGGTGATATCCACTGGACTCACCAGCCCCTCCTGCCCCAGTGAGCTCATGGCAACTCCTATCAGGCCCTCCTGCTCTAGCAGATCCAAGGGTCCTGGGCCCTGCTGCCCTAGCAACTTCATGGAGCTCTCCATTGGGCCCACCAGTCCTGCAGATCCCTTAAGCTCTGGGCTCAAGAGCCCAGCCTGCTCTGGAGACCCTATAGTTTCCACGCTCATGGCACTCTCCTGCTCCAGCAGCTCCACAGGACCCTGGTTCATTAGCCCCTCTTGCTCTGGAGATCTCACAGTTCCCAAATCATCTAGTATGACCTGTCTTGAAGATCCCTTGTTTATTTTTCCCAGAGAGGCTCCTAATTGCCCTGGTGCCTCCCCAGAATCTATAGTTATAGTCCCTGCACCCTTTGGGGCCCCTGCCAGCCCTCCAGCCTCCAGGAGACCATGGTCCACAGTTCCAGGATCCATCACGGATAGGTGGTTCCCTCTAGCAGTGCCCTCAGCAAGCTCCTCAGGCTCCAGGACTTCATAGTGGGGGACCAGGCTCAGCTCTGAGCCCTGCAGCCAGTGATCTCGCTGTAACACCCGTTCTGCCACTTGGAGGAAAGAAAAAGAAAGTCCATCAGGTTTCTGTGGGAGAGGGAAAGTCCCACTGGGTCTGTTCTGCATACTTACCCTGCCACTGCTGGAAGGAGACGACAGTGCCCAACTGCCTAGGCAGGCTGCGAAGGCCCTCCAGGGCCCCACCACCACTGCGGCGCTCATTCTCCAGGTATAGCTCCAGCAGCAGCAAGTCCACGGGTGGGCTGCTTCCTACCACACGCACTGCTCGAGCCTGGGGCACCTGGGCCACAGACACAGAGGCCCCATCCAGGCCCAGATTCTGAGCCTGTTCCTTTAGGACCCGGAATTCTGTGGGAAAAGTACAGGTTAGTCAAACCTCTGGTGCCATTGAAAAAAAAAAAAAAAGAAAAGAAAAGTGCAGATAGGCTCTGGACATCTTTCCTAATCAGTACCTCAGCTCCAGTCCCATCTCTTACCTGCTTCAGGAAGAGGCATGGGTAGCTGGACCAGGGCCCTGTCAGGCCTGGGGCTGGCCAGGGCACGGCAGGGCCGCACTGGGTGTCCTATGGCACACAATAGGGCCTGAACATGCTGCTCCAGACGCTGGGGTGTGGTGCCAGCTGGCAACCCTTGGAGGAGCAGGCGGGTAGTGGCACATGGTGGGGCTGGCCGCAGGCATAGGCGAGCACCTTGCAATCGATGCTCTGCCTGGGCCAATACCCTCCAAGCATCTGCGAGCAGGTATAGGAAATCAGTACTGTTGTAGCATCAAGACACTCAGGCTGCCCCCTTCTACAACCCTCTCACCTGCAGGTTCTTGAAAGGTGAGGATGCCCCCATGGCCAAGTCTCTGCCAGCTCAATACACGCCCCCCACCAGATCGTCGGTGGTTCTCAAAGTAAAGTGTGAGCAGCTCATCTGGCACATCAAAGGGCAGCCCATGGACCTCCACTGCCGTTCCCGGTTCCCCCTCTGCCATTATAACCCTGAAATGGAACATTAGGGTAGGGAAGAGACCTACTCCACTTCCTCTAAGTCCTACTAGGTCTGTCCAGCTGACTGGGGTACCCTTCCTGCTCCCTCCCAGGGCTCCTTCTCTATATACCCAGGGTGCTACCCCATTGTGGGCACCCCCACGTCCCACACTCACACTCCCCTGCCAGCCAGACCTAGGCCTTTGGTAGGAACTAGGTGCCTGCCTGCATTTCTGCCTGAGATCGGAGAGGAAAACAAAAGTGAAACTGAGGGTAGCAAACAGGGAGGGAGGGGCCAGAGCTCAGGCCAGGCCCTGGTTCTGTGGCCTAGCTGCTACTTCTGCTGTAGTCTCAAACTCAGCCCACTAGGAGATGAGGAGGTGATAGCCAGGCAGAGCTCTCAGAACCCTCCTGACAGCCCAGTCACTAGCCCTCTAGGGCCCACTCTAGCTTCTGCTTTGGCAGGGTGGACAGGAGTGTCCTCTGGCTGTCCTCTACTTCTCACCCTTTCCCTGTGACCTGGAAATGGCCAATTACCTTCCCCACTAAATGTACCAAGCAAGGAGACTTGAGTAACTGCTCCTGGTGTAGGGTTTCCAGGCCTCTGTCAGTGTGAGCAGCACTGGACTTGCAGGCCTCCTGCCCTAGCTAAGGCTGGCCTTCAGCTACTTCCCCCAAACTGATCCTTAAAGTCACCAGGGGACCAAGCCTCACACATAGGTGCTGAGGGTGAGCAGCTCTACCCTTGACACCAAAGACTTTCATCTCAGCAGAGACCAGGTTTGGGTCAGAGGGTGGCCTCTCATTCTCTCAGCTCTCTCCAGCCCTGACACCCACCTAACCCTTCCATTCTCTGCCGGTATCCTTGCTCTCATCATGACCAATCACAGAGGTACAGGCACTGCGCTGACAGGCTTACATCCAATAATCCTGACCACAAAAGGAGAAATGGAGGAACAGTCAGGGCCCAGGGCACTGCTGGGCCTCACACCCAGACTTATGCCTGGAAAATCCCCATTTCTACCCATCCCCGATGCCCCCAGCCTCTGAGCCCTTTTGCTCCCCAATCCTTCCAAGATTGTGCCCATTGCTGCTCTCCACTCCATCCCCCAGTCACCCCCAGCCTACCTCTGTTGTTCTTTCACCAGGTCCAGACCCTTGCTCAGCCCACTGTCTCAGCACTGCAAACCTAGCACCTTCGACACGGAAGACAGACTCTGTCCTTCACTTGTTACTCCTTAAAGCATGATTTGTGTTTTTTTTTATGAGCCATACAAGGATTTAAAAGCTGTTTCTTCTAAAAACTGTAACTCTTCACTTATGCCTGTAGATGCCCAATAGGTAACTAAAAGTAGAACAACACTTGACTGTCATTTTATAACTCCAGGCCAAATTCTTCTTAGTTCCCTGGACACAGGCATGTTAGTCACATACAGAATGTGTCTAAAAGTTGTCAAAACAAGGTGCTTTTTTGTTTTTGTTTTTGCTTGAAGTACTGGGCATTGAACCCAGGACCTTCACATACAAGGTCCTTTTTCCAGCCTTTTTAATTTTTTATTTATTTATTTATTTATTAGTACAGGGACTCAAACTCAGGACCTTGTGCTTGCCAGGCAGGTGCTGTGCCACTGAGCTATATCTCTGGCCAATTTTTTTGTTTGTTTGTTTATCTTTTCGCTTGTTTGTTTGTGTCTTTTGAGACAAAGTCTTGTTCTGTAATTTAGGGTAGCCTTGAACTCAGTATGTAGGCCCTGGACTTGTGGTGATCCTCCCAAGTGCTGGGATTACAGATATATGCCTCCACACTCAGTATTTATTTTTTATTTTGAGACAAGGTCTCACTAGATTTCCCAGGCAGGACTCAAATTTGTGATTCTCTTGCCTCACCCTCCCAAAATGAAAACAAAGCTTTTTAACCTTATATTTACCTAACCTATCTCATCACCCTTCAAGATTATGAACACCCACACCCAGAAATCTCCATTGCCCTGAACTCATATTTTAGCAGAGCCTCTTGGGACTGAGACTACTCCAAATCATGAGGACTCCTTCTCCTAGAAGCCAAACTGCTCCTGAAGTCCTGACAATTCCTTTGGAGCTCCTAAACAGGAACTAAGATAATGATCAACCAGATGTCAGCCCATCATAAGCAGCTCATAAAATTAGTACCTTTGCTTTACCTTTCCTTCACCAGAGTGCACGCCTTCTAGCTACTGTTAAGAGACCTTTCTCAATTTTCTCTTACCTCCCAATTAAAGTTTTGCCTCTACATTCATAATCTTGCTTTGGTTTTAGTTTTTGTTATTACTAAAGCAAGCAGTGATGCTAGCTGGTGCCATCTTCCCTATTCCCGCCCTCCACCCCCGTCCCCAGCTGCTGGTATTTCTTGCTGGATGGCCCTATCTTCTTCACCTCCCAGTGCCATTCCCACCCATCCCCATGGTAGATTCTCCACAGAGCAGAGTGAGCCTTTTAAACTGGCACAGATCTCAGGATTGATAATGACAGAATTGTGGCGCAGCTGAAAAGATAAGAAGTATGAAATATAAATGACCTTTATTTTAAGAATGTGGGGAGAAGGGGCTGGGAATTTAGCTCAGTGGCATAAGCACCTGCCTTGCAAGTGTGTGGTCATGAGTTTGATCCCCGGTACCCATAAAAGACAAAAAAAAAAAAAAAAAAAAAAAAAAAGAATGCGGGAAGAAACTCCCCCAACCTACCGGGGTCCGGCATATTCTCTCCGGGGTCTGGCAATCTCTCCATCGGACACATGGAGTGGGAGCATACATGTAGCTTAGGTGTGGGGTGGTGCCTGAGGGGCATTAGTGATGAGCAGGTAGCCCATTGGTATTCATTTTGCACCACAGGTAAATTCCTAGGAGCTCCTTGGTTCTGCCTCCAAGGCTTTTCCAGCTACAGTGTCCGGCCTAGGGCAAGATTCTTTCAGATAACAGTAACAACTAAAGGTCTTTTGGGGCCTAACTCCACCAACTGGCCCCAGTCCCTCTCTGCCCAGATGCACACATCCTGATGCTCATTAGGCTCAGCTTCTCATTTTTCATCCACAACTATAAACTCAGGGAATGCACAAACTAGCCTTTCCCACAGAGCCATTTGGCCTTTCCTTCTGTATTATCCCCTCAACTGGCCCTTAGTGGAAGATTTAGCATGAAGCTAAAAACCCTGAAGGGCCTCTCACCTGCCAGCCTCCCCACCACCACACACATATACTTCTTTTGTTTTTATTTGGGGTTTTGAGAGAGGATCTCACTATGTACTTCAGACTGGTTGAACTCACTGTATCCCAGGCTGGTCTCAAACTCACAGCAATTCTTTTGCCTCAGCATCCCAAATGCTAGAATTACAGGCATGCATGACCACACCCAGACTTCCCAGACCCTTCTAACGTCCTATACTCAACTTTGTATTTGTCATTTTTTCTAAGAATCTTTCAAACTGTATGAGCTTCTGCTTCTGTAAAACCTAAGTTTGTCCAGCGTGCTCTCTAGCTTCTCTTCTCATGGGACTCTTTGCTTCCTAACAGGCTGTACATTGCTATCCCAGTTCCAATTGCAGTATCTGCCACTGTGAACCTGTTGTTAAACTGGTGGTAGCTTGAAATCAACCATGGTGAGAATATTTACACCACTGGTATCTGCAAAAGCTACAGATTAGGGTTTCCCTTCACTAGATGCAGTGGTTGAACATAGAACCAGCACATCAGGGGCAAAGGAGAGTCTCATTTTCATTTTCTTTTCTTTTCTTTCTTTCTTTTTTTTTTTTTTGGTGGTGATGTTTTTTGAGACAAGGTTTCACTGTGCAGTTTAGGCTGTCCTTGAATTCCCTTTGTAGCTCAGACTCGCCTTGAACTCACAGTGATCCTCCTGCCTCAGCCTTCCAAGTGCTGAGATTACAGGCAGGCAGGCGAGGGCTTTTTCCTAACCAATGCTTGGCCTAGGGGAGGCCAGCTGCCCCAGAGCCAGGGAACACTAGAAGGTCCCCCAGTTTGAGTTACTACAGAGACTTGGGACCACCCAGAGGATACTCTGCTGGTGACAGCCAGAATTTCCTTAGGAGAACCTCCAGAGCCAAGGCAGGGAGTTAACCCAGACTCAGGTTGCTAACAGTATATAGATACAAAGACTTGAGAACAAGAGGTGTATGTGGTGTTAGGGAAACTGAGGCACAACCAAGACCACTGAGGCAGGCAAAGTTGAAGCAGTGTTTGCCAAATGGGTGTGATTGGGCCAAGGGCAAAAAGACTATTGGCCCTGAGCAAGGGGTGAGGGCATATTTTTATATGGCAAAGGAAAGTTTAGGTAAGGGTTGGATATACTGCCAAGGAGGGGTGCAAAATTTTGGGTCTCTGGGTAGGGGGGTCTAAGGCCAGGTGATAGGGTACAGGGGATGCTGGCAAGCACAGCATGTTTCTTGTGATTTTTTTGTGGAACCGGCTCTTTGCAGGTTGGGCCATGTGTGGCAGCTGCTGGCTTTCTGTTGAATGCTATGCTCCCCTAGGTGCCAATAACAGATCTGTATGAGGGAGTTTTTTTCTCTCCTAGTTGGGCTGAGGTCTAATTCAGAGACCTGTGGAATGGTGCCTGGCCACTTGGTTTCTATGACTGGCAGAATGGGCAGTTAAACCAGTAAGCAATTAGGTTTAGAATAGACTTGGATGAAAAGAAGAGAGAATGCTGTGTTTTAAGGCCAGGAAAAGTGTTCTTGGAGCTTCCGCAAATTCTGCCTGTTGTCATCAATTTCCTAATTGTTTAAACAGCAAGAGAGCCAAATTGCCAGCACAGAGCCCTTTCTCCAGACGTTTTCAGCTATCAACTCCCAATCACACTCCTCTGCACGCAGTGTAAGGTAAAGGACTAGGTCCAGGATGAGAGTTGCCCACAGCCCCACATTTCAAAAACTGAGCCTAGGGGCTGGGGATTTAGCTCAGCGGCATGAGTGCTGCCTGGCAAGTGTGAGGTCGTAAGTTCAATCCCCGGTACCAAAAAACAAAAACCACCAAAACAAACAAACAAACAAACAAACCACCAAAAAAAACTGAACCTAGAAGGTTTGGTTTCCGCGCTGAAGCTCCGCCCCGCCCACCATAAGCCCCGCCCCCAGCCTCCCGTCACAAGGTCGGACCCCGCCCCATCACAAAGGCCCTCCCCGCCCTGTCACAGGCCCCGCCCCGGGCCCGCCCCGTCACAGCGCCCCTCTGCGTCTCCCTAGCTGCAGGCGCAGGCCCAGCGGAGTCGGCCCCAGAGCGGTGCGGTTGCGGACGCACCGACCATCACCGCGCCGGTGCGCAGCGGACACCAGCGGACCTGCCTGTGGCGCCCCGGGAGCGGTGAGTCCCCGGCCCGACCCTAGGAGCTTTTCCTGCCCCCGGCAGTAGCCTGGTCGACCGGCCGCCCCCGCGTCTCGGGCTCTGCGCAGCCAAACACGGCCACCGCTAGTGGGTCAGTCGGTCCGGCCAGAACGGATGGCCGCTCAGCCCTGGTGGCGGCGGCAGTGGGGGCAGGGAGCCGCGGTGGCCAGAACCAGGAGGAAAGGGGCGGCGCGCTGCGCGGGAGCAGGACCTGCGGCCCCGGCGCCCCTGGCTCCGCCGGAGGGCCCACCCACCCTCGACATGCACTCTGGCCCACCGCCCCACCCTCATCGTCCCCAGCCCGGGCGTCACCACGCCTGCTTTGTTTCTCGATACGCCCTCTGCTCGTTTCCATCCCCCACACACCCCCGCACCCCGCTGTTGCTGGCGTACCCCACTGGCAGACACCCGGGCAACCAATCCAGGCTTTCTCCCGCCCTGGGAGCGACGGACTGTCAGGCCCAGTCTTTGGGAAGGGAGATCAGGGCTCCATTGGTCACAGATGGCGTGGGGATTTCCTGGGATAGAAATAGCTGCAACCTCTGGTCTCGTCAAGCTGCTTAAAGGGGCGGAATGCGAAGGGGAGGGCCCGCCGGGCACACCCCCAAGCGTCCCCAGCCTTGCCCCCCGTCCCCATCCAGCTGAGCTGTCTGACGCTGAAAGCTGACAGTGGGAGAAAGCTCCACCAAAGCTCCAAATTTCGACACAGCCAGCCATCCTTCCCCCTCTCTTCCCTTCCCCCACCTCCTGGGTTGGCCTACAGTCACCCAGTCGTCCCCACTCGGTTCCTCTGGTCTCATTGCTTCGGGGCTCCGCACACACTAGGTCATGGTCCCTGCCTCTTTCTCCTGGTTTGTGGGCAGCAAGTGGAGCTGTCTCAGACCTGATTCAGGCCACTGTGACATAAGGCTACCTATTCTGTCTCTCTCCTCTAGGGGCAGCTGGCAGAACCCAAGGCCATGTCCCATGAAAAGAGTTTTTTGGTGTCTGGAGACAACTATCCTCCCCCCAACCCTGGATATCCTGGGGGGCCCCAGCCTCCCATGCCCCCCTATGTTCAGCCTCCCTACCCTGGGACCCCTTACCCACAGCCCCCTTTCCAGCCCTCCCCCTATGGTCAGCCAGGGTATCCCCACGCCCCTAGCCCCTACGCCCAAGGGGGCTACCCTCAGGGCCCATACCCCCAAGGGGGCTACCCTCAGGGGCCCTATCCTGAAGGAGGATATCCACAGGGGCCATATCCACAGAGCCCCTTCCCCCCCAACCCCTATGGACAGCCACAGCCTTTCCAGGCACAGGATCCTGACTGTGAGTAGTGATGGTTGATGGGGTGTGGCAGGGCTCCACTTCCCTCCAGCATAACTAATTCCATTTCTTGCCCCTACCCCTTAGCACCTCAGCATGGGAACTACCAGGAGGAGGGGCCCCCATCCTACTATGACAACCAGGACTTTCCTGCCACCAACTGGGATGACAAGAGCATTCGACAGGCCTTTATCCGCAAGGTGGGACCTGACTGTGGGCTCGGGGGCTGGGTGAGTGACTGGGGCAGGCCCTGACTCCCCTGCTCTCCCCAGGTGTTCCTGGTGCTGACTGTGCAGCTGTCGGTGACTCTATCCACAGTAGCCGTGTTCACTTTTGTTGGGGAGGTGAAGGGCTTTGTCCAGAAGAATGTCTGGACCTACTATGTCTCCTATGCCATCTTCTTCATCTCACTTATTGTCCTCAGCTGTTGTGGGGACTTCCGACGAAAGCATCCCTGGAATCTTGTGGCACTGGTAAAGCCCAAACCTAAGTCCAAGCCTCCCAACCAGTGGAGCAGTGGAGGGTGGGAACATGGTTAGGGCTGGGAACAGCTTCACACACCCAGTGCGAGGTGTGACCTTCTTTCCCCAGTCGATCCTAACTGTCAGCCTGTCCTACATGGTGGGCATGATTGCCAGCTTCTACAATACTGAGGCAGTCATCATGGCTGTGGGCATCACCACAGCTGTCTGCTTCACAGTGGTCATCTTCTCCTTGCAGGTAAGGGGTCCCCCGTGGCAGGCTGTGGCGCTGTGGCCCAGAGGCCTTCCTGGGTCTGGCACCACAGCCACCTTCCCTCTTGCATCCCCTTAGACCCGCTATGACTTCACTTCATGCATGGGCGTGCTCCTGGTTAGCATCGTGGTGCTCTTCATCTTTGCCTTCCTCTGCATCTTCATCCGGAATCGCATCCTGGAGATTGTGTACGCCTCGCTGGGTGCCCTGCTCTTCACTTGTGTGAGTGACAAGGTAGTGGCCTTGGGTGGGAGGACACCAAGTGGCAAGGCTACCTCTCAACACTGCCATTGTCATCCTCAGTTTCTGGCAGTGGACACTCAACTGCTGCTGGGGAATAAGCAGTTGTCCCTGAGCCCGGAGGAGTATGTATTTGCAGCACTGAACCTGTACACAGACATCATCAACATTTTCCTCTATATCCTCACCATCATTGGTCGTGCCAAGGAGTAGCCTGGACCCCCAGCTCCCTGTGCCCTGCTCAGGAGGCATGGCTGGCCAAGACCCTTCCCTGGCATCACAATGCCAACCATATTTTTCTCTCTCTCTGGTCCCCAGGCATGGCCTGGGGCACGGAGAGCCCCTCTCCAACCTTCCTGTATGTATGCAGCAGACACTTCTGTTTGGACCTGCTGTTTGGCCCCTTTTAGCCCTCTCATCCTGCCAAGGGGCAATGGGGCTTCATCTCTGTGCCACCTCCTGTCCACTCATTGTTGCATGAGCCCTGTCTGCCAGCCCCACCACCCTAGGGTCTGGGGCAATGCCAGGCCCAGGGGAGAGGGATTGAGTCAAGAGGTGAGGGTGCACGTCTTCCTCCTGTCCCAGCTCCCCAGCCTGGCATAGAATTTCCCCATTCCCTCCCCGCCCCTCAGCACTGCCTTCTGGAAACATGTAAGGTGGGGCTCTCCTATACTGAACCCTGAGCAGAGAGATGGCATGTTTCAGGGGAGGAGGAAGCCTTCTGCTCGTTCTGCTGTCACTAAAATTCCAATAAATGGAACCTTTTGCTCTCTGCTTCTTATCTCTCCTGTCACTACCACTTCCTCCAGGAGGTAGAGAGGAGCTACAGCTGCCTCTGGCTGCTGAAGGGACAGGACAAGCACAAATGTAAAAGTGAACGACAGTACAGGAGCTGGACCTGTGTCCATGCCTCTGCCTTCTTTCTTGCCAACCCCATTTTTAAAGTGTGTCCTCGGATTGCTGGTGATGAGATTAAAGATTCTGAGGCTCTCAGGCATGGTACCAGGTCAGAGTGGCAAGTGGCCTGACTGTATCTACTCGGGATAGCACGGCACAGCCATGGACCCTGCCAGCTCCTTACTACCTTTCCCAAGGGCCTCAGATGCACCCAACACAGGTGTATAGACACTGAAGAATTGGACAGGTCGGCTTCTGGGTGTCACTCTGGCACCTGGTCCTTTGCTGCTCTGCACATTACTCTGCAGTCCTCACCTACACAGCCCACTGGACTCTAAGCAGGTGGCCAGCCCTGCTCGATTTACCTCACAAATGGTCCTTTGAGGCCTAGAGTCCTGTTCTGTATGTACCCCACCCCAGCCAGGGCTGAGGCTGCCTGGGCCACTGTGTTCTTTCTTCTGGGACTCTGTGTCCAGTTTGGCATGAGAACCTCTCCCAGAGCCATTCCTTCTCCCTGTCAGCCTCATGGGACACTTGTTTAATTGGCATCAGGGTCTCATGTTCAAATAAGGGACCCACACACCACGAGCCACTCGGTATCCACAGGCATCTCAGCCTCCCCCAAACTTGATGATGTTGCATTATCTACCCAGACCAGAAGCTGTTCCCCTCCTCCATCTTGCCCCACTTCTCTTTCTATCCCCCTTCTCCTCTTGTTCAAGCTTTCTTGTATCTGCCAGCCCCCTCTACCAAGTGCCTTCAGGGTAAAGTCTGCATTCCTTGGCTGGCACACAGGCCCTGTCGTCTGCCTACTGCTGCTCCAGCTACCCCACTGTCAGCTCAGCCCTGACCTTGTACAACCTGAACCATGAGCAGGCTCCATCTTGTAGCAGTGTCACTGTTCACACACCCCCGTCAGTGATTTGAACAGGTCCAGTTCCTCCTGTAGGGTGCCTGCCTGAAAGTGCTTCCTTTTCAAGAGAAAGAACCAACCTAGACTTAGCTCACAGACTTCTCCATATTCTTTAAAGAGGAAAACAGACAATCTGCAAAACTAAAGAGAACTTTAATGGAGGTCAGAGAAGGAGCTCAGGGATCATTGCCCAGTAAGTTGTGGAAGGATAGTGTTTGCTGGAAAAAGTTCCAAGACATAGTCTTAGCTTAGAGAAGGGGGCTCCTAGAGATGGTCAGGGTAGTCACAAGATTTAGAGCAAAGGCCCACTGCGGACAGGCTGAAGTTCAACAGAGTGAGGGTTTGGGCCAAGTAGAGAAAAAGTCCACTCAGGCAGGAGCCACAGCCGGGTTTAAGTTCAGCAGAAAAGGGGCAGAAAAAGCGTGTGTAGGAGAAGGGTTTAGGGCTGAAGACCGGTTGAGCTGTGTCAAGAAGCTACAAACAAAATCTGAGGTAGAGGCATCTGAGATAGCTCTGTGCTACAAAGGTATTAGGCAGAGCTTAGAGCAAGGGGCTGGGGGCATTATGTCTCTCCTATACTGATTTTCAGGTAAGAAAGAAAAGCCAGGATCTGGCTAATCTGCAAGGCCCAGTGCTGCCAAAAGCTGCCTGGAACTTATAGATAGAGGCCTCTGTGCTGTTGAGAGCTGGCTGGCACCACAGATAGAGGTGCTTGGTGTTCTCCTGCTTAAAATATAACCAGTTTTACAGAATCTTGACAGCAAACAAGGCCCCTTTGCTACCATGATGGGTCAAGAGAAAGAAAAGACCCCTCTACAAGCATGACAGACCAAACAGGCAGTATCCATCATAAAAAAGACCAAGCAGTGCCCCACCCTGGCCTGTGTGACTGCTGTCTCACAATTGACAGCTTTTGCCTTCCTGTAGTCTGTCCTCCTAAGTAGGCATCAAGACACTTGTTATAAAATAACCACCTTGGTCAAAGATGCTTCCTTAGATCCTCCCCTGTGCCACCCATTTTGGTCCTTACAGAACTTCCTCTAAGAACTTTCTAGCTCTCTTACTGTAGCCCTACGTGGCTTCCCAGGGGTGCATTTGCCCTCCCCTCCAGGAGCAGCAATCTGACTTGTCCAACCAAGGTGTACACAAGTGGGTTTCATGAGGAAGCGCTGACCTAACCATACTAAAGCCAGAGAGGCACTGGGTGTGGTGGCATATGCCTGTAATCGAAGCCCTCAGGAGGCTGTGGTGGGAGAGCACCTGAAGGACAGAGTGAGACCCTGTTAAAAACAAGGTTATCATGGGGTTTCTCGTGATAGCCTGTCCTGCCTTCTCTTGTACTTTTGCTTTTTTTTCTCTCCTGCTTGGTCCAGACTCATTCTACAAAGCCAGTTTCTCCCTTACTCTTCACTCTTATTTTTTAAAATAAACTTTTTCACTATTAAAACAAAATGATTCTGGGCATGGTGCCATATGCCTGTAATCTCAGTACTCGGGAGGCTGAGACAGGAGGTTTGTTGCAAGTTTGAGACCAGCCTGGGCTCAAAGTGAGCATAAGGCCAGCCTGGACCGCAAAGCAAGACTATTTCAAAAAGAAAAAAAAAAAGCCTTGGTGGCATATGCCTGTAATCCCAGCTCTCAGGAGGCTGAAACAGGAGATTTCCATGAATTTGAGGCCAGCCTGAATTAGTGCAAGGTCCTATCTTAAAAAATAAATATAAAAAAATTTTAAAAGCCAGAGTAAATTTATTCTTCAG